GAAAAGAAAAGAAAAGAAAAGAAAAGAAAAGAAAAGAAGAGGAAAGAAGAGGAAAGAAGAGGAAAGAAGAGGAAAGAAGAGGAAAGAAGAGGAAAGAAGAGGAAAGAAAAGAAGAGGAAAGAAAAGAAGAGGAAAGAAAAAGAGAAGAGAAGAGAAGAGAAGAGAAGAGAAGAGAAGAGAAGAGAAGAGAAGAGAAGAGAAGAGAAGAGAAAAGAAAAGAAAAGAAAAGAAAAGAAAAGAAAAGAAAAGAAAAGAAAAGAAAAGAAAAGAAAAGAAAAGAAGAGAAAAGAAGAGAAAAGAAAAGAAAAAAGAAAAGACCCACAAATTTTCTGTTTATTATTAATTGTTACTCTTCAACCACATGCATAGAGACTAAGTGCACAGGAGCAACTCCTTGCCTCCGGCAATGAAACATACAGCAAAGGGAGAAAAGAAAAAAAAAAAAGAAAAAAAGGTATTAAAAAACTCACCTTTGAACTCAGTTTCAGACCAAGTGTACTGAGTGTAAAGTTTCCTGGCAATGATCCCCATGCAGCAAACAAACAGACCTGTTTACTGATTTGCAAGCACTCATATAGCAAATTACAATTCCTGGAATACATAAGAAAGCTGGAATTTAGCTCTAAACAACAGTTCCCAGAAAGTGAATTGCTACATTATGGGCTTTTTTTTTTTTCTTTTTTTTTTCTTCTTTTCTTAGCAAGTTCAGGCTATCAGATGAAACGGAACAAATCCTGGTATATACTCCTTCTGCTGTTCTTTCTGACATACAGTAATCATAAACTCTCAAGGTAACTTTGGAAGTGTAAGAAATTCTAGCAATTGTGTCCTTCCACTCCTAGTCATTTATATGAAAGCTTTGGGATTTTGTACAAATATTAACCAAAAGAACTCAAAGAGTTCACTGCATAAGAACAAAACTCAGGAGAGCACATCAGCAGGTAGGTATTGGCCAGACTGCCATTCAGAAGTACAGATGTATGCCTGAATCTCGTCTAATAGTGCACATACATCTCTTCAAAGACACATCTTTAAAGTTAATTTTATCTATAATTCTAGGTGAAAAAATAACAAGGTCCAAGAAAAAACATATCCTCCAGTGCAATGCCATCTTGTGGTAAATGGAGAAATGGTCTGCACCATTGGCTCCTATTGTTCCATAGTGTATAAACCACACTCATAATTGTTGACTTGGGGGTGAAAAAAAAGGAGACTTTACCACAGTTAGAATTATCAGTATATTCATCTTTATTTACAATCCTAGCATTTTCTCCAAAATACTGCCCTGCCATTATACTCAGAGTCATTTCCATCACTCCAGACATAATGCATCTGTAGAGATGTGATTAACTTCGTAGAAATGTGTATCTTGTGTAAACACTCCCATCATTTACTTGGGTACAGCTAGATCCCCCTTAGCCTGTTTTTAGTGCATGAGTCAGCTCAAAATGTCATGGCCATGCAAACCACATCACTGTAAAAGGATCCTTCCATACCTCATTTATTTAAAAATAGCATGGCAATATCTCTGACCCAGCTGACCTTTGGGTGCATGCAGTATTACCTCACTTTTCACTATGCTTCATGAAACACCTGCCAGGTGATCCCACTTTCCAAATGCTGCTCCCCTTCTTCTTTCACCAAGAGCCCTGCCCACAGGGCCAGTGTCAGTCCTAATGGGGCTGGAATTTGGGACTTGAATTCTGCTGCTAGCACACACAGACATGGCTTTGCTGCAGTGATGCAGACACTTGAATGGTATGGTATGGCATGGCATGGCATGGCATGGCATGGCATGGCATGGCATGGCATGGCATGGAAATCTATGCTATAGAAAAAGATATATATATATATTATTAACATATCCGTGCACCTTAAACCTGCTTGGTATTTGCATGCACACACCAGCCACAGTGGCAGGGAGAGCTGCAAGGCCATTTGCTCACCCTGGATGCTGCGTACTCAGTCACAGCCATGGCCTTCTGTGATGCCATGGGGCAGCAACACCTGACTTTCATAGAATCACTGAATCATAGAATCGCTCAGGTTGGAAAAGACCTTAAAGATCATCAAGTCCAACTGCAACCTAACCAAACTAGTCTAACAACGCTCCACTAAACCATGTCCCTGAGCACCACATCCAAATGGTTTTTAAACACATCCAGGGATGCTGACTCAACCACCTCCCTGCAGAGCCTATTCAAGTGCTTAACAATCCTTTCTGTCAAGAAGTGTTTCCTGATATCCAACCTAAACTTACCCTGGCACAACTCGAGGCCCATTTCCCCTCGTCCTGTCACCTGTCACCAGTGAGAAGAGACCAACCCCGCTCTCACTGTAAGCACCTTTCAGATATTGGAAGAGAGCAATAAGGTCTCCCCTCAGCCTCCTTTTCCCCACACCGAACAGCCCCAGTTCCTTCAGTCTCTCCTCTGAGAGCCATATTCTCCAAGCCCTTCACAAGCTTCATTGCCCTTCTTTGCACCTGCTCCAGCACCTCAATGTCCTTTCTGTACTGAGATGCCCAAAACTGAACACAGTACTCGAGGTGAGGCCTCACCAGTGCTGAGTACAGGGGCAGGATGACTTCCCTAGTCCTGCTCACCACACCATTCCTGATACAAGCCAGGATGCCGTTGGCCTTCTTGGCCACCAGGGCACACTGCTGGCTCATATTCAGCCCACTGTCCATCAGTAGGCCAAGGTTCCTTTCCATCCGGCAGCTTTCCAGCCACTCCTCCCTAAGCCTGTAGGGTTGCCTGGGGTTTCACCACCCCTCACCCAGCCCTGTCCCATGCCGGGGCTAAATGCAATGCCCGTTTGGCAACCATTACAGAACCGGGCGAGGGGCTGCGGAAGCCCTTGGGGAATAGGAGGGGCAGGAGGGGGCCTACAGCTCCCGGCAGGCACTGCAGGCACGTAGGCGGGCAGGCCTACAGCTCCCGGCAGGCCGGGCGCCGCACGCAGTTCCGTCGCGCTGACTCGAAAGGGCCGCGCCGCGCTTCCTGCGCTCGGGCGGCCGCACGCGGCCCGCCACCATGGCGGCCGTGCGCGTGGAGGAGGTGCTGGCGGCGGCGGCCCAAGAACAGCATCGGCCGCGGAGCGTGCAGGTGGAGAAGGAGCTGGAGCTGGAGTTCGACCTGGGCAACCTGCTGGCGCTGGACCCCAACCCGCCGCCGGCCGCGGCGCTGCGCGGGGCCGGGCCGCGGCGGGAGTCGCAGCTGCGGGCGCTGGCCCGGGACAACGCGCAGCTGCTGGCGGCGCGGCTGTGGGAGCTGCCGGCCGAGCGGGCGGACGGGGCGGCGGGGCCGCTGGTGGCGAGGCTGCCCGAGCCCGCCTTCCGCCTGCCGCGAGAGAAGCCGCCGCCGCGCCCGCGGCCCCCCACGCGCTGGGAGCAGTTCGCCCGGCTGAAGGGCATCCGGCGCCGCAAGCGGACCTCGCTGGTGTGGGACGAGCAGGCCAAGGAGTGGCGGCGGCGCTGGGGGTACCGGCGGGCGGGCGGCGACCCGGCCCGCGCCTGGCTGGCGGAGGTGCCGGCGGGCGCCGACCCGGAGGAGGACCAGCTCGCCAAGCTGCGGCGCGCCAAGCGCGAGCGGGTGGCCCGCAACGAGCTCAACCGGCTGCGGAACCTGGCCCGCGCGCACCGCTCCGCCGCCGCCGCCCCGCTGCACCCCACGGGACACCAGAGCCGCCAGGAGCTGGGCCTGGTCGCGCGCGTGGCCCGCGTCTCCACCGCCTCGCTCGGCCGCTTCCAGCCGCGGCTGCCCAAGGAGCCGGCCGAGCCGCCCTCCCGCGACGGCGGCAAGAAACGGCGCTTCGGGCCGCTGCTGGGCGACCTGGCGGCCGAGCGCGGGCGGCAGCTGGAGCTGCTGCGGGGCATGAGCTCCAAGAAGCCGGCCCTGGACATCACCCGCGCCGTCAACAAGCAGCTCCGCGAGGAGGACGCCGAGGCGGCCGCCGCCAAGGGCAAGAAGCGGGCGCAGCGCGGCAAGCGGGGCCGCCGGCAGCAGCAGCGGCCCGGGAAGAGGAGCGGCGGCGGCGGCAAGAAGGGCGGCGCGGCCCGGCGGCAGCAGCAGCGGCCTGCGGGAGGCGGCGGGAGGAGGAAGAAGGCGTGAGGGACTGCCTGCCTGCGGCCACGAAGGGATCGCCGCTGCGGGCTCTGAGCCACGGCTGCGCGCGACGAGTGCGAAGGGACTGCGCCACAGCCGCTGCCGTGCGGCCCACACCTCTGTCAATAAACGTCCTTCGGTCTTTGTAAAATGTCTTGTGCGCGGCTCCTGTGCGATGGCTTCGGGGTGGCCAGGCAGCAGCTCCCATGCTCGGCAACGGGGGTACAGGGCTCGGCAGCAGGGTGCAGCCTGAGCTCTCCTGTTGTGGAACTGATAGCGGACAGTAGTTGAAGTGGGCCAAGGGCTGGGTTCTGCGTTTTGGTCACAACAACCCCAGGCAA